TACCCAGCTGGAAAATTAACCTCTCCATGTAGGCCTCCTTCCACAACTGCCCTACATCTCATCGACACAGACTGTCTGTCCCAGCACTGGAAAAGCATCTCCACAGCATGGTGCTGCCACCACCATGTTCCACTGCAGAGACGGTGTGTTCTCTGCAATTTGCAGTAACAATAATAATAATAATAATAATAATAATAATAATCTTTTCCAGGTCCCACACCTTGATGATGTGATTGTCAGAAAGCAAAAGGATGAGAAGAAAAAAAAGGTTGGTTTCCATGACAACACTGATTTCAGGTTTAGGACAAATGTTTCCAAGCACAAACAATGCCTGCAGGGGCTAGTTCAGTCAGCCTGGAAAATGGAGGCGTGCCAAATGGAAACCTGGCCACATCAGGGAGGATGCCTCTTGAGTTTTTTTTTTTTTTTTTTTACCTCCAATGGAGGACAGATAACAGGAACAGCAAAGACATCCATCATGCCAAGGAAGAATATGAGGAAACAGGAGAATTTTGGGTGGGGTTGGAAGAGAATCTGTGCACTCAAACAAGAAGAGCCAATGAAGCTGACTTTACTTTAAAGGTGTAAAATTAAATATTTTAAAGTGTTTCGTCAGTTCGGTTCTACGTCAACCGTATATTGCTGTTTCAGTCGAGCCAGGACAAAAATAAGAACATGAAGCTTTCTCTTACCCGAAAAGTTATCAAAAGCAGTCGGGACGTATTTGGTCGGGTATCCATTGGTCGTGTAGCTGACCACCAGGCTGGTCTTCCCTACCGCTCCGTCCCCGAGGAGGACGCACTTCAGCAGCCGCTCCTGCCCCGGCCCCTGTCCCGGCCGGGCGGGTTGGGGTTTGTGCGGCGGCACCGGAGGGGCCATAGTCCGTCCGTAATCCATTGCGTCTGCAGGTGACATTCAATGTCCCGGCGATTCACCGCGATCTCATCCACAGCTCGAGACAAACCCCCCACAGCATGGGAGCCAGTTTCTGTCCGCGCAACAACAGAGCCGGGAGTCGCTTCTGATCGGGACTCAGGGCGTCAACAAAAGCTCTGCAGCCTTCCAGCGCGCTGTCAGATGAGCCACTGAGACGGCAGGACGCCGAACCATCACCGCAACAATCTCACGCTCCGCAGCTCTCAGCAGCAGGGCGGGTCGCGTGCTCTTTATGTGGCGCGTAATTTGACTAATCCCACCCATCAGGGCCGGGCCCAGCGCGGTGGGGGCCCCAAGCACAAGTTCATTTGGGAGCCCACCTGCAGTTAGCACTTTTAACCACAAGCCACCCGTTTTTGCTTTTGTTCTTTTTTTTACTTTTGCACAACTTGTCTTGGAGTTCCTCTAACACGTGTCTACATCACTGTTTGAGAGTAATATTTGCTTTATTTATATAATTAATAAAGGAACAGTTTCCAGAAGCTATTTTATGCCCACAGAGTCTTATTATTATATCTCATAACTCACTAAAAATTTAGGCTTTGAGCCCCCCTGTCATCTTGGTGGCTCTAAGTAGCAGTTTAGTTTGCTTATACCACAGGCAGGCTCTGCTACCTACCTTACCTTTGTATGTTTTTTTGTTTTCACTTTAAAAGTTTGCCTAACTTATCTGGGTAGTTTGTCTCAAGTGGTTAAACTACAAGCCAGCGACACAGCTGATGTGAGGTCACCGTTTTTATCTGGAGCGGACATGTCCAGACTAGTCTTCGGCGACACGCTACAAACCACCTGGATGTTAATTTTCAACGTGCCATATGAACTGACACCTTATCCTGACTCAGACTCCCGGACCTATTTTAAAGCATCTCAGACTGTATAAAAAGAAATGCCTATCGACTAACCCATAGACCGATCTAAACGGACCGGCCCTCTGATTGGGCCTTTTCTGTCATGTCGCTCAGGTGATCATGTTTCACCTCATCAGGCAGAGAGGTTGAGTTTAGAAGTAAAACGTTTGGACCTTTGCTGCCACCTGGCGGATACAATATGTGCATAGCCCTTTTAGCAGTTTTCAAATTCACATTTTATATTTTCGGGTGGCCGATTTGCCTACTTATGGTTAAGTCTTTATTCATACCGAGTGCAAATGTAACCTTTTGTTCAGTTTTTAAAAAAGGTTTACAGCTCTTCTGTCGGATTATTTGCCACAAAACTGCAGTGTTTTGGTGGCAAATAACCATAAAGACCCCTGCTGGTCTTTTAGTTCACCATTCAGATTAAAAGTTATAGGACTCTGAATCAAACATTGCATCCTCCCATTCATCGCTCCAAAAATGCATGTGAGACTATAGAGACAGAGGAGCGTTGTGTGAACCTGTTTAAGTAAATCACTTGTAGCATAATTGGGACTTCTCACTGTTAAATAAACGAAAACGAAGCCGGTTTTAAAACTGACCGGTCTCAATTTGTAATCCGAGAAGTTCAACTAGAACCGGAGAAGCACAAGATTGATTGGTCAACACATATGAAGAGGAGGATAATGTGAGGATGAGCAATATATGATAGGGCTCAGTGTTTACAATGATGCTTGCACATCAAATTATCTGTATTTATGGGATTCTTCTAACATGTACAAAATGCAGCATGCACAGTCGGATATGTGGTTCTGCTCTGGGTGGTCTTTGCCACTGGTCCTTTTATCCTCAGGAATTCTGTATCTGCACATAAAAAAAGCTGGGAGGTCCAAGAAAAGTGCCACGCCAGCAAATTTAATCTACTTTAATCTGTCACTGTTATGAGAGATTGTTGTATTTCGGCTAAAACGGGTCTGACTGAAGTGCAGGTTTGTTCAATTTCGTGACACATCTAACGGTCTCTGAGGATTTCCCCTTATGCAACATCTGAAAAAGTCAGACAAAAGAGAGAGTTTCACGTGTTTATTCTTCAAAGGATAAAAGTCTGGTGATCCAGAATACAAAATAATTGGTGTACAACTACAATGCATATCATCATTGGTTTTTTTAAAAGGACTAAATGTCACTTCAGGTTCGGACTTGCAACCCTGTATCCAGAGGGGTCGAGACGGTGGGTGAAACGCAAATAACGGAGCACAAAATGAAGACAGTGTTTTAATTGTAGGAATAGTTCGAGTGACTTGAACTAGGACGTATTAGAGAAATGCTCATTTTAATCCCAGAAACACAAACATGTTTATGGGCATAATTGCAGGAAAACCATTGTCAGTAAACTTGGCTTGTACTAATTTTATGCGCATGAGCTGATATTAATTCATCCAGAGAAAAATGTTAGGAAAGACGCTAAGGCAAAGTGGAAAACCAATTCTTGATTATTCTCCATGTTTAATGCTAACATCTAAAAAGCGAAAGGGGCATATAGTGGGGGGATACGGTCGAGGCTGAATTTTATCACACTATCACTACACTTTTTTTTATGTAATTTGTTGAGATTTTATGTGACAGACCAAAGCAAAGCAGTCTATAATTTGTGAAAGAAAACAAACAGCATCATAAAGACCAAGGAGCAAAGCAGGCGGGTCAGGGACGAAGGTGAGGAGGAGCTTTAATCAGGTTTAGCTTACAAGATAAGCTTATGATGCACTATTTAGTTCAGCGACTAAATAAAATGTAAAGAGAATGGCATGACTGCAAAGCCACCAAAACATGGCGGTTCACTTTTCACTGACAGGTCAGACAAGGAGAAAATTAACCAGAAGCAGCCATGATAACTTTGGACCTCAGCTCTGGTGGGAAAATCTGTTAAGGGAAACGTCATCCTTGCTACCCTCACCCTTAAGGCGGAAACTACTGAGAGTTGATAACAGCGATGAATTCAGAAGAATCTCAGTAAAAGTCATGTTAGACTGCAAAGCACTGTGCTGCTGGGACAGATGTTCACCTTCTGACTCCAAACATGCAGCCAGAGCCACAATACAATGGTTCAGATCAAAAAGTAGCCCAGAAAACGTTCAAACATAAATCCAGTGGAGAATCTGTAGCAAACAGATTCTCTATCCAATCAAACTGAGCTTGAGCTGTTCTGTGTTGGTCTATTGCATAAAATCCCAATCAAACATCGAAGTTTCTGATTGCAACATGGCAAAAATGTGAATAGGTCCAGTGGATATATGTGATTTTGCAAGGCACCAAACATCCAGACGCCATTGCAGAGTAACACATTGAGCACGTTTTGGAATAATGCCGTAATAATCCTCACTCGTACTGGAGTTTACATCTGCTAACACGTCTTTGCTTCTCTTTCGGATGCATGAGCTGAGTAACAGTAAGGCAGGGGTGGCCAAGTCCAGTCCTCGAGAGCCACCATCCTGCAAGTTTTAGAAGTATCCTTACTCCAACAGACCGGGATCAGCTCTACAGAGGCCTGATAACGAGCCAGTCATTTGATTCAGGTGTGTTGAAGCAGGGATGCATCTGAAACTTGCAGGATGGTGGCTCTCGAGGACTGGACTTGGCCACCCCTGCAGTAAGGCATAGGAGTAACGTTACGCTTTGAAGAATTAGCTTGAAAGAAAGTTTGGGTTTATATAGCTGAGCATCCTGAATGCTTTTGAGATTCCTGAAACTGATTTTGTTACAATTTCGTTTAAGATCCGGCGTACAGACGTGTATATAATAAGGTAATTGCACAAAAACAGCATTCTGTGTGAGGTGACGGTCAGAGACGCGGTCGCCGTAAGTACTGTGATGATGTCATGCACCTGCGGTCAGAAAGGCACCTGCTGCATCTCGCTTGCTCAGTTTTTCAGAGTTCATCAACAGCTGGAGAAGAGCACAATAAGAGCACTGGGAGGACTGTTTAAAATCTTCAACCTTTCACTAAACGGACACACGGCAACTAAAACATACGAGCACATTGCTTCCACCTCAGGTGCATCGCATTAGGCAAAAATTATTGCAAATCTCATCTATCACTCTGCTTTCTCGCTGCACCTACAAAGGGCAAAGCAAAAGCCGAAGTCACAGACACATAAAGGAAAGTGAATGACAGCCGGGGTGACAACAAAAAAGAACATTTTAGAAAAAAAATAAAGAAGAAATTTGTTTTAATTGGGGCCGACAGATTCAGTAATCAGTAAATTTGTCAGAGCAGACGCACACATTCAAAACAATACACTGGCATTCATGCAGATACACAGTTGTGAGGATGAAAATGTATCTGAACGAAGAAGAAGTAGATGTGGTCATTTTATGCTGCCATGATGATCCCTGTTTTTGTCCTCTCATATACGTTAAATCACCTGACTGACCGAGTCGGGGTGAGAAATTCCCACTCGCCTTCTTTAGCACATTAGTACAACAGCTCTAACTGAGATGCTCATCGAATCTCCTTTGTAACGCTAAAATTATGTTTCCAAAAATGATGTTACCAGATTGTTTTCACCTAGAATCCATTAGCTCTCACTTCGCCTTAAGAGCATCTGAGAGCCGTCCTCTAACCTCTAGAAACTAGACACAGTCTTAGTACACAGAACTTCGTTGCTCTTTTCTTCAGGTTTCCAGTGTCTGTAGCGCCATCCGCTGGAGGTCTAAGGGACAGACTGCTGAGTAAGACATTGAGTGGCAATCTGCAACTCTGGTAGCTTCTCCTAAAGTTGTTGTCCATCAGATTTTACTGGGTTTTAGGCTTGGCACCACCAGGAGTCGTATCAGGAGGAGGGCCGCCGCCTTGGGCGAGTCTTCGCAGACTGAGAGGGAGAGAGAGAGGGGAGGGGTTAGTGCTCCTGGAATTACAGCCTGCTAAAAAAAAAACACAATAATGCAACTTTAGCTCTTGTGTAAGTATGGACAATATCACCGAGTCTCCTTAATGGTTTATTTATGAACATTCAATGAAATATAGCAAAACATCAAACGTTCAACTAGTGTCGTGGGAAATCCTTCCCCCTCTCCCCAATTTGAAAAGCAAGTGTATATTTAAGCTTCACTGTGAACAACATCCATATGAAAACAGTTGTGTGGCTGTGCTAGTAGCCACTGAGGGTCAATAGATGGCGCCATACTCACAAGTCCTTCACGCTGTCAATTTGGACCTGAATTTTTCCAATAAAGCCATCCACTTGCTCCTGTAACATCACAGTTTGTACAAAAAAATACGAATCTGTTGTGTTGAAACTAATATTTACGTTGTTGTATAAAAAAATGTGTTACCTGCCGTTTTTCATAGAAAAGGGGCAAAGAAAAGAGAGCAATCACACCTGGGAGGAAAGGAAGAAAGAGTTCGTGTGTGAGCCGAAGGGTTTATTGATACGTTTTACGTCTCCAGTGAGGATTTCAGTTTCTTACTGATGATGAGGATGGTAAGGCCGTTGCAAAGGCCTCCCAGATATGTGACAAGGTACATCAGAAACAGGAACTAGAGATTTAAGAAAGATAAAACAGAATTAAAAAGGTAAATAAACAAAGACATTTTATTCAACTTCCATCAAAGACGTGCAAATAGGTTTAGCTAACATTCTTGACTTCCAGTTTTAGAACGTCATCCATCTTTCTGCCGTCTAGCCTGTCTCAGTATCTTCCATAATGTTCACAGTATCTAATGGCCGACAGTTTCTCGGTCTTGCTTACAGGATCCAGTTCGTCGGATATGGGACACCCCCGTCTCACATGGAAAAAGACTCGGTCTTATCCCGGGGGTCTCTGTGTGCTGACTGGTGTGTGTCATTTAGCATACCAGCAGGGTCACAGTTGGCCAGGAGGTTCAGGGATTAAGGGGCTCAACCAGCTCCCAGGGATTGTCATTTGCTATAAATATTTCTATTCTGTCCAAATTTAATGACTAAAATAAGAAAGTGAGGTGTTCGCTTTCTACCACAGTTAAGGTGAATGTAAGGGGGACAATTTTTGTCACATTTTAGAGTCAGCACGCTTAAAATTTCTGTTTGAAAACGCATGGACGATAAAACATCTCAACAAGCATGTACAGCTGAAAACACTTTTTTGACAGAAACTGAAAAAAGTAGTTAAAAGATTACATTAAATAAAAGTTTGAAATACTTCATCCTTTGTGAAATAAATCTATATAATAAATATCTTTTGTTTATTGAAATGTGGCAAAAAATATATATAATTCTTCTACAATATTAATTTTTTTTAAGCTGTATGTGTGAATAAAAAAAAAACACTATTCTCACGCAAAAACCCCACATTTTAATGCCGTGCTTTTTGTGAAATGGCGGTGTCTTTGTAAGTGTAAACATGAACAGGTTACATGGAGAATGTTATCAGATTTTAGTTTTACAGTCACCACTCAGCTCGCTGCAACAGAATAAAGTATTTGCCTTCTAAAGTTGTCAGCAAAAATAAGAATGATGACGTTGTGCATAGTTTTGTCAAAAATGGTGATCTATAACGATGGCACGCACTTTTAAATCCCTGAGTAGGGTGCCGGTAAGTGAGGTTTCCAACTTGTCACTCTCAGACAACACTGCTCCTCTCTTATTAAATCGTTGCATTACAAACTCAGCCTTGAGGTGGACACTACGTTATTCCTGCTCCAGCGTTGTGTATGGTTTAATGGTAGTTAGCTGGTCCTGAAGTGAAGTTGTCAATCAAGTTTGGCTACAAGTTCAGCTACCTCGCAGTCCTATCGTCCTGACAGGAATGTGATAGGCAGTGAGATACGAGGTAGTAACTAGGAAGGAAGTTACGCCAACATGCTTCCCTTGCTGAAACAAATGGATTCAGCAAACAAGAGACCTGTACAGAACAATACCAATCAGAAACTAAATACTAAAAACAGGGGATGGGGACACATGAGTCACAACTAGGCTTTATGAATAACATCAGAATCAAAACAAGTTCATAATTTACACCTTTTATTAGTTGTTACGGTAAATTAACTCTAGTCATTCAAAATTATTCTAAAAATAATAATCAAAGCTTATCATCTTAAAGTAGCTGTAAATAAGAGGCAGTCAGATTATGAGACCATACTTTACTAGTAAATATATGACGCTGGGACAAAAATAATGACTCAGCACTGGCAGTGCAGACAACGTGCTTCTAATACTGTTTAATTTGATTGTGTTGGATCGTTTTCTGAAATGATTATATCATAAAAAGTGACAGCTGCTGTCTTTGTTTTGAGTTTGCGTAACAATGCTGTGACCAGGGAACCACGGAGCTGTGATGATGGACTACGACTGATAATAAGAGCCAAATGACAGAGCATGAAGCCATGCAGATGTTAGGGTTAATGAGTCCTGGAGGTTCCAAGCAAAGCAAAACAACACGGTTCATTAAAATCGCTCCTCGTACTAAAAGACTAAACAGACATGCACAAACAACGGCAGATAAACAAAACCACGTAGACGAATAGAGTGAACGTAATTAAATCGGCATGCTTAGCTTACCTTGAGGGATTCAAAAAGATTTTCTACAAAAAACAGCCTCCTCAGGGCATCAACAGCAGACAGAGCCAGAACAATGGCTTTCTGCATGTAGATGTCAGCCTGCTCTCCACTTAAACTGATGTCCAGATCCAAGTATGACCTGGCAGAAACATACACTCATTAAGCCAATAAATCAACTCAAATATAATTAAAATACTGATATGTTGAGCTAATTGTTAAGGAGGCAGTATAGGTCTAAAGAGTCCTCAGTCAACTCAATATTATTGTAAAAATAATTCATTAACAAAGCTCAGTTGTAGTAACATAGACAGCAAAATATTTACCATGCAGTATCCTGCCTGTTTTAGATGCAATAATAATAAAAAAAAATCATTAATAAGTTTCTGCACATCGTTTTACACACAGCGACACATTTAAAACAAGCAGGTGTCCAACTCCAGGGAATCTGTGTTTCCTTTGTGCCTACATATTTGATCCAGTGGAGGACTCGGGGAAATAATCTGAGTATTAAAACTGCACAAACGTTTCTTTGATGCCTTGATCCAAGGAAACCCGTCTTACTTGAAAGGATGTTCTCCGTCCCCCCAGCTGAGGATGTGGAGAAAGTGGTAGTAGATGCGCACAGAGATGGTGAAGCACATGACAGCCAGGGAGACGGTGGAGACCACAGAGATGATGCTGAGCTGGAACAGGGACAGTAAGCCCACCACCAAGGCAGTGAGCACCATGCCACTTCTCTCTGTGTCCTTCCAGTAGATGAGGTCCAGTACTGATAGACAGGTCAAACAAATGATAGTTGACAGACAAAAGTGGTTCAGGACTCTAAATGTGACCAAACATTTTAGTGAAATTACATTTTGAAATTATGTATGAGGTCGGAACACAGGTACTCGATTAATTGCCAAACCTAAGAACCTCTAATATCCAACGTTGTCTATAACGTTGACTAAATATTATCTAGTCTTTCATTTCTCTGTTTTAAAATGGGTGTACTTTTAGACAGATGAGCAGGAAAAGAAATATTACTGAGAAGAAAGAATAAGGAGGGAAAAACATTTAGAAAAAAAAAAGGTATTTTCGTCATCAAGCCTGAGAAAGCACCCAGCAGCTCCAGGCTCAAGCCTTGGCTGAATTTAGTCTTCAGAGAAACAAAAGAAAAAAAAAAAAAAAAAAAAAGCCAGCAGTTGAAGGGAATTTAAATTCCCAGCACCTGTTGTCACATGTCAGGCCGATAATCTGCACCCTGATGGTTTCATTGTCTGCCAGGAACAGTTGGATCAGACATCTCTAATACATACAGTTTTAACTTTAACGTTTTGGTCTCTGTTTACTTCATATTAAACCAATTTCGCCTTGTTTTAGTCTTGGAGGCTAAATATAACAAAGTGGGGTCTTGTTTGAGATTTGAACCCCCTGGTCCGCTCACACTGCTAGAGACAATTATATCCATGTTCTGTGCAAAAGCCGTTGAGCCAGGCCTCGCTTCTTTATCGTTTGCTTCCAGTAAAGCAGATTTTAATTTAACAATTAAGAGTGACCTTGATCAATGATTCCTCAGGCTTTCTGAAAGCCTGCTGCAGTTTTTCATTGAACTTTAGCTGCTTTTCCTGTCCCGTAGGAGGGGTTTTCTTTGTTCCACCTCTGAACTAAATAATTCAAACAGAAAGTTTCTTGCAGTTTAGGGATTATGCACTCATGGATATTAACCAACTTACTAAACATCCTGTTTAAATGTACATACTCAGGGATTTTCCATATGCACATACACACACAACCAATTATAACAGCAACAACAGTGCGTTGTGTAAACACAGACTTCTGGGTGTCTGTCACGCAGACGTGATGAAAAGCTAAGTACTCATGGTAGCCTCTTTGAAGAGAGAGCATTGTCAGTGGGTGGGTTATTTGTAACACCTCAGTACACAATTCATTCCCACAGCTTCCCTGCAATAGTCCTGCTGGCTGTCATTCTGGGTGATGCTCAACACACCGACAAGCAGCACTAATTTATCTCTAATATCATATTCCAGTACTAGTGAAGAAGCAGTACAATTAAAAAGAAGCATCTCTGCGGTAATCAAGGTTTCCATAAGTAGAACAATAAAAACAATAATTAAAAAATACAGAAGCAAATAACAGAGTCAACCAACCATCACTTTTTATTGGCTCCTTATCTCTTTTTGCTTTCATAACTTCCCACTTTGGCAGTTTTGGTCATTTTGTGCCCGACTTTCTCAGAGAAGAAGTGGAGCCACTTGCTCCGGGATGGTTCATCGTGACAATACGAGATGTTTCGTACCTACATTGACAGATCATACATTACAGCAATTTTCTACAATTTACTCCTAGTCTACTTTAAGGAAATGTGGTTATATGACCACAATTAATAACATCTCCTGACAGAATCTGTTGCATCAGGCCTATGCTATAATATCTAGACAATAATGTGAGCAATTACATGGGTAAATGATTTGTTTGTAGGTGAGAGATGAAAGGACGATTGTTTTCATCTTATATTCACCCATTTTCAAAAGTACTCTTCCTTGAGTTTGCGTCTCCCTCACAGATTTCTTCTATAAGCTTTTGCTTTTTTACTCAAACGTGATAATATTTAACATCAGATTAAACAACTTTACTACATACAGAATGAACTTTTCTACATATGTTTTCATGCAATAAAGGGATAAGTGCTTTCTGGACCATTTGGATGTTATGTTAAAAATTAACCGCATGACACAACGGCGATCAACCACAATTTTTTTATTTCATTTTTCCAGTGGCTCACTGCTGAATCTGGCAAAAACTGAAATAGCACCTGCCAAACACCATGAAGTAGGCCAAAAAATGTAGAAATCACTACACCATGCCCCAGTCTTATGAATACGAGACAAAGTAACTGACTATTTTTAAGGTTTTAGGACTCCAGTGAACCACGCTGGCAGCCATTACCCACAAACGTAGAAAACATGAAACAGTGGTGAACCTTCCTTGGACTAGCCAGCCTACAAAAAATGGAAAAAGCATGAGGTCACAAAAATCCCCGAACAATATTTAAAGCTCCGTAGGCCTCGCTTGCTTCTGCAACATTTATGCTCCATAATTAAGAAGGAGGCAGGATGGGAAAGTCCCAATAACAAAAACAACACCGACCAAAAATTACTCAAAGGTTCGTATCTCACTGGCTAAAAACATCTTGAGTAATCGATGGAACCAGAGAATCCTGTAGAAGAATGTCCTGCAATCAATTTGTGGCCTAAGAGCTCAGGTTCACCTGGATTATGCAGATTGACAATCATCTGCGACACCAGCGGGCAAATCCACCTCCGAACGACTCACCGAAAAGAGAGGAAATTTTGGTTTGGGCTGAACCGTAACAGAAATCAGAAGAGATCTGTAATAGAGGAAGATGCTCTTTGATGGCAGTGTAGATCCTTAAAAACAAACGTTCCTAAGGTTTGTAACTTAAGAACATGTATGAGTAGATTAACAGGGACATGTAAGGAATTATATATACATATATATAGCAAATGAAAACATGACAAGTGATTTAGAACATCACATCGGACCAATTAAAAATAACACTTCACACAGAAATATGAGCTTAATGAAACTTATGTTTAAAATCTACTTAAAGGTTATTATTTAAAAAGGAATGTTTAATCTGATAAAACAAGCCTCATATTTTAATTTCTTTAATATGACTGTAAATATACATTTGTATCTGCTTGCCTGAAGGAAGCAAATTTAGAGAAAATAATTGCAACCAGGCAGCAATCAATAAATAAATACTCAATATAACTATGTGAACATAAGTAAAGGGGTTTATTTTTAACTTTGGGTGAAAATAAAATGAACTTCAAGGCAATGTCTACTCAAAGCAACCATCCATTCATTTATTCTCGGTCAGGTCATGCCCGCCTGTTTGCTAGTCCACTGAAATGTCTGTGCATGTCCCAGCTGTCCAGCCTGAAGCGGTAAAATCAAGCCAGCCAGCAGACAGCTGTCTGATACCGTAGCAGCACCGTTTTAACTCATTTGAATGGCAAACACTTCTTTGAATTGAAGCCACTGATAGCGATTCCAGCTAGTTACCCTGAGCAGCTCATCAGCCTAAAGTCAAACACACCTGTAGCTTGTTTTCTACTCTGTTTCAAACAAAATGTAAACTGATCTAAGACAGAGGAGAGATCTCTGCTTCTTTCAACTGCCTTTCTTAACTTAAATGTATTTTGTTCTCCTTATTTTGGCTTAACACTTCAAAGCATGCTTTTTAGCTACACAAGCATAAAAAATTGTGAATTTCTTTAAAATGTCTCACCTTTGCTGGCCATGTTTGGTCACTGTTCCAGTCTCTCCCTCTCCCTTTCTGTCTCCCCCACTGAACCAACTCCCTTCTCCCCCCTGAGCTGTTTTTGGCCGTCCAATGCTCACTCAGCACTGCAAAGGCCTAACAGCCCAAAATAATCTGCTGGTCCACAGAATCGCCCTCCACTATTCAAGCCTCCCTGCCAGAGAACATGGAGCTAATTCTTTTCACTGTTTTGAAATCAACCAGCTTTTAAAGCAAAGTCCAATGAGAAGAAATAATAATCGCCATTTGGTTGTCATTTACCAGAGAAGAGTTAATTCTGTTTTTTTTTTTTTAAAGCCAAAGTCTGCTTCTCTTTCCATCCAAGAGAAACTGAAAAGACTTCCAACATATTTGCATTAAAAAAAAAAAGAAATCTTGAAAAAAACAAAATATGTTCTTGAAAGTCTCATAATCTATTTGGATTGCTGCAAATAGTAGTGATGCTTGATTTTTTCAACTTACATTTCTAACAAGATGATTTTTTTTAATATTTTGAGATTTTTTTTATTTTCTTACTTTTATTCTCAATTTTAGAATGAATCATTTCATGTACATTGCTTTGGGACTTTTTTTCTGTAAAAAATGTAAAATAAATACATTTTACTTAAACTTTGTTTAATTGCTGAGAATAGAGACCTGAAAGAAGTAATTAGGAATGCATATTACATGTATATTGATAACTAACAGCAGGAGCTTTTAATTAACAATTTATGGCATCCTGATTTCCTGGTATTAGATGTATAAGGAATTAGCTCTAAATCTAAATATAATACTCAACTCAACCATTAATTAAATTTATATACATGGTATATTTAGAAAACCAGAATTAAAAACACTTTATGATCAAATTAAAAGTTCTAAACTAGGGAAACTTTTTTTTTATTATTATTAAAGTTTGTTTTTTCCCCACTCAGCAGTGTCAAATTTTAATGGTTGCAAACATTTATTCAGATGTGACATTTGGTACCTGAAGTAACAGAATAAAAAGAAGGACAATTCTCATGTGGACACTCTGCATGTGACCTATTTATTTAAGACTACACTACACTAGGTCTGTTATCTGTCTGACCACAAAATTATCAGCGGGCTTTAAATCCCTCCCTCACCTAAATGAGACACAGCCCTTGTCTGACCACTGCAATAGTCCACTTGAAAACCCATCAAGCACGATGACTGAATCTTATCTCTAATGATCCCCCTTCTCTGCCTCACTCACTCAAGAACTTCCTACTAGCGCCAACGAATCTGCATACAAAGAAACTGCACACACACACACACACACACACACACACACACACACACACACGCGCACCCTAGTTTCTGTGAGACACCCAACACACACCGATAGCGGTTTCATTGGTGTGTCTGCCTGAAAAAGTCAGCTAAAGCCTGGAATGTTTCCCCTGCAATTAGCCCATCATTCCCGAAACCTCCAGAGAGTTGGTTACTATGGAGACAGTGGACAGTCAGGATCTCTTGCCCGCCTGCCCCTGAAGGTACATGCTGAGAGGGAAGTCTGAGCGTATCTCTGATTAAAGCATTGACTTGTGAGCTGTGAGGAAGAATCTGAGCAAAAATAACGTAAAACACAGAAGATCTGAGGAGGCAGATATGAAAACAGAAAAAAAAAAATATGTTAGTAAAACGTAGCGATGAAATCCTGCACCTGCTATGTGGATGCATACGGTCAGATCCTCTGCCAGGTCCGGTGCTGAAAACCAGTGATCTCTGAGCAGCTGTTCCTGAGACTTGCGGCCTACGGAAGCCGCAGACGAGCGCGCTGGGTCTGTGGGTCGCACAGAGGTGAGCAGCTTGACTGAAATGGTTTCCAAGGTGACGGGAGACTCGGGCTCCGAGGTTGGTGAATCCTCTGCTGCCGGGAAACAGAAGCTGATGTCACCATGGTGATAAAGTAAATAAATTACAGGCACCGTTGCAAAAATGCAGCTCTTTCTTTGGGTCTCCTAAACTCTGCAGAATCATCTTTTCTGCTGTGTGACATCAGCTCCAGTAACGAGAAAATCTCACAAGTCTGATGATGTAATGCCTTACCATATCTACTCACTGGTCATTTTATTAAGTACACGTCTTCAAATTACTCTAAACACTCAACTGATTTCAATGCAAACGAGCATCTCTGGGATGGGATGGAGCAAGAGATTTGCAGCACAGAAATTAATGTCAGTGTGGACAAAAATCTCTGAGGTATCCGACACTTTTTTGAATCTATAAAACATTAAGACGGTTCTTAGGGCAAACAGGGGGTCCAACGTCGTAGGAGTCAGGTGTGCCTAATAAAGTGGCCAGTGAGTGTGTTGGTATGTAAAAAATAACAAGCATTTAATTTATGTGAGGGCTTTCTGACATATGGCTTGATGTCTTTCTCTGCTCATCTGTGCCACATGAAATGAAGAACCCCTTGAAGAAAAAGGTCACTGAGTGTCAGACTTTATAATTAGCTCGGGGTTCGCGAACGTTTGATACTAATGGCTGCAGACAGCAGGGATGAGCTGAACGCTGACAGCGGCAGGAGTAAACATGTGCAGCATTTGTGAAGCAAAACGAGTTTCTCAAAACAACAACAAAAGCAAAAAAAAAATATTTCATCTAATAATTTTTAAAAGGTTGAAAGACGAATTGGGGAAATAATCTATCTGTGAGAAACTGCGTTGCTGGATCTCAGAGGTTCGCTGACCACTCTGACCTGCGCTCTCTTCTCGTCCGTCTCCCGCATCTGTCCTTTCGCTTTCTGAGTCCAGAGGTCCAGGAGCGGGCTGCACTGTAAGAGTTTCCCTTTGCTCCCCTTCCCTTCTTCCCACAGGACTTGCTGTCCCTGGTTCCTCCGACTCCCGCGCTCGAGTCTCCGATGTTGGCTCTTCTTCATCTTGATTGAGAAACCCCTGTGGCTCCCAGTCCTCATCAGGGGAGTCTAACAGCATTTCCAACGTGTCAGTTCGAATCAAAGGAGTGCGTCCCAGCCGGGGGATACCCCTGCGTCGCTCACGATGGTGGCGTGAGCTCCCAACCGCTTCGGCCTCTGCGATGGCGATGTAAGAGAAGGTCAGCTCGAAGGAGTGCTGGCGAGGAGTCCCCCAGATGGACGGGGAGGAAGCTTGTCCTTCGTCGTCGTCTGGATCTCCTGTCTCCACTTCTTCGTCGTCATCATCGGACCACTCTCTGGCTGTCTGCAGATCGCACATCTCTGACTCCTCGTTGCCGCCTGGATACAAATCAAGACGGGCAGTCATTGATTTACAAAGACGATGATGAAGACGTCTTCAAATAGTCCTAACACTAAGCAGTTTATTTGATCAGCAAGAGACATTTCTGTTTTTGTTTTTTTTTCTGACAGTTGAAAGGTAGAAACACATGAGGTTTTCAGATGAAACTTGTTTTGATGTTGCTATCAAAGTAATTGCGACATTGTTATTCCAACATGTAAATAAAAACTACACGAGGTACAGAGGAGAGGCGAGAGCTTCTTACCATCGGTGCATGGAGGTGTTGAGTCTGGGGTGGATGCCACAGAGCCATATTCCTCTAGAAGAAAGTAGTTACATGTTACATCAACAAGCACCTTCAGTTATTACAGCTAGAATCTACAGATCAGACCCAAAATCTGGGAGCAGCGGTGGACTCAGACCCGAACATCCAAAGACATATAAAAATGGTTACAAAGTCAGCCTTCTATCACTTAAAGAACAATTCCAGCAAAATCCTGCTTTTTACTAAAACTAGGACGATATAGCAACATCATCCCAGTTCCACAGTCCCTACACTGACTCCCTGTAGCTCAGAGAATAGACTTTAAAATACTGTTGCTAGTTTATAAATCACTGAATGGCTTGTTGTCGTATCAACACCAAACATGGAGAAGCAGCATTCAGTTTTACCTGGAACAAACTTGCAGAAAACTACAAAACATCTGAAACACTGAGTTCTTTTAAATCATGGCTAAAATAGAGCTGCCACTGTAATAACAACATTTTACATATAGTTGCTGGATGATTTTTTATTTTATTTTAGCATTTAACAAACTGTAATGTAACCAATTGCTGTTCCGTTATTGGTTGCTGTAAAGATTTTAATTTTTTTTCTGGTGTGAAGCAGTTTGAACCGCCTTGTTACTGAAATGTGCTTCACAAATAAACTTGTCTTGAGATATAAAAACAAATCCAGAAAGATAAACTGTTCCATTATATAGCTCAGCACAGATGTACTGCAGATGAGCAGGAACACACAAACCCCATAAACACTGCAGCACCACACAAGAACCAAATGTAAGGGCACTGTAATTCTTTCCTTGCCTGCAATTCATGTGAAAAGATGCTGCTAAGGCTAACAAATATTAATGCTGGTAGAAAATATCAGACTAAGGGAACACAGTGTGTTCATCACTCCTAAGTGCATACTGTAGGTCATTGAATATTGAGTGGTTCTGGCAGAAGTAAAAGGCTTTCACTGCATTAGATTGCCAGCATGTATAAATCAAGCAGGCAGCCATTGCACTGAATGCAGCATATTCTGTGCAGCAGAATAGTGTGAGCATAGGAAAACACTCGACTACTGTAACTTAGCTTTAGATTAGATTGGGGGGCACAAATTCAAAGCACAACAGAAGCATTCAGGAAGGAATGATTTACGATCTGAACATGACTCCATGCAAAGGCTTTCTGCACACAACCTGCAAACTGAGACATGAAAACAATAAGAGTGTGCCTCTGCAGTGCAGCGATCCATTTACCGTTTATTCAAGGTAAAAGCAGGATAGACAGGGAGACGGGATGAGCTAAGGCATACGATGATGTGAGAAAAAGATGCTGAGGCGGGTTATGCACATCTACGAGATCGCCGCTGTGCGAGCATGCACAGAAACAAACACAAACAAGACTTACGGCAGTGGGAGAATCCTAAAACCTGGCCCATACTCCATCAAGGCATCGCTGGGCCCATCCAGTCTGGAAGCCCCCCCTCCCTCATCCACTGCCGGCACTCACGTTGCGTGGATTCACCCTCTTCATCCGTCTCCTGTGAAAGCAGCTTCTTTCCTCTCCTGCCTCTGTTACTCAGCAACCCCGCCCTGCCTCACTCCACTCCAACATCCTCCCCTCTGCCGCCTCCGCTCGTCATCTCATTTTGCGTCGCTGCGACTGCAGCCGTCGGAGCGTACGCTACAGGAAAGGGAGAGGAGCGTGAGCGCCTGTTGTCATCTTTTCATTCACAGCCAGTCCATGTCTATCTGTTTCTAATCACGTGGCTCCAGCTTTAGGAGCAGGAGACAGGGAGGAGGCAGGGAGGGCTAAGTCATTAATAATGCAGCACACGCGCAGATGATGATGCAGGCTTCATCATAATGCAAAAATAAGCCTGCAAGGAAAGTTTGCTTTAGTGAGTTACATATTCATCTTAAAGATTGTCATATGCAATGATTAAAGAAATTAAAGCATAGCTATGAAAAAGATGTTAAGTAGGGGGCAGTGAAGAGCCAGAATAAACCTGATCCTGATAGAAACGTACGAGAGTTGGGAGGGCAAAACGCATAACAGGAAAAATGTTCATAATTCTTTTGTTTCTATTTTATATTTATGTTAAAGTGGAAAATGTGAAATTGAATTTTAAAACTTAAAAGAAAGAAGTATTCATAGACAACCACAAACTTTAGTATACTTTGTTTATATTTTATATAAGTGACCATTTTATGTTACGTTTTCTTCACGAATAAATATTTTTGGCTGTTTTATTTTATATTAATGGTCATTACCAGACACGGCAATCAAACACCAAACTAGAGAAAACTAGAGAAGTCATTTAGCATCTGACTGAGGTCACAGTGGCAGAGTGCAAATGCGATCACCGTGTGCGTGTTTACTCGAGGAAAACGAACACAAATAAAGCGACGACCTGCAGCCAGAGATCAGGGTAAGTTAATAAAAGGTTTAGTTGTATTTAGAACTGGATGAGAACAGGGTCACATAAAGTCTTTAGCACCACTTAACCAGGTCGGGAGCTGAAAATACATAAAAGAAAAAAGAAGAAAGGAGATAAGTCAGTTAAATCTCACAGATTTTATTTTCTTTTTAACTTATAATAAGTTAAATAAATATTGACAATAATAACAAAAATTTACAATATACTCTTCCATAAGGATTTGCAAATTAGAATGCAAATGTATTCTTGTCACAATATCAAAGTTTGTGATATTTATATCATGAAGAACTGTCTGTTAATATCATTTTCCTGGATTCAGGTGTTTTCAAATATGACAATTTATAGCATTTGACTGTAATGTACGTTTTATTTTTTTAAAATTACATTTAATCATAGAACCTTCCACATTTCTTGACGGCCCTGATAAAGATGTGTAAAAAGTCTGCAGTCGTCACAATGACAATTCAGAAACATCCAACATTTAATTTAAGTACATTTGTTCAGTACGAAAAAAACAAAACAAACTTGTTCAGATTTTTTAAACAAAATTAGTAGCGTCATTATTACTGCTATACGTCTACTGTTAACACGACATAGCAATGATTTCCTCTCCATCCATCCATCCATCCATCCATCCATCCATCCATCCATCCATCCATCCATAAGATCAATTCATATGTTAATTTCTTCCTTGACAGCATCATCCCTACCACAGGAAAAACCAAACAATAGTTAAAAGAACATCAGAGACCAACCAAAGCTGGAATAGACAACAAGACCATCAGCAAAAACGTGGGGAGAGTAATTCAATAAGAAAGAAATACAGGATGGTCATCAACTATCCTGTTAACATGTTGCCTCATAGGGTCAAGCTAATCATGAAACGGGGAGGGATCAGCTTATAGTACATGACACTAGTTTGTTAATGACCAGATCAGGGCTTTTCTGCAAACCTCTCTTCAATTCCCAAGATAATCTCTACAATATTCTGAAAAGGTCTTGAGAAATCGTGGCGGTCAAATGTGACCAAAATCAAGATCTTTGGAATCAGCTTGACCCACTGTGTTCAGAGGAAGAGAAATGCTAATTATGACCCAAAGAACACATTCTTTATGGGAGTGGAGATAAGATGCTGTGGGGCAGTTTTTCTGCTTGGGATAAACGATAACCTCACTGCATTAAGAAGCTAAAGAACCGGGTCGTGTCTGACCTTAAAGAACATCCTTCGTCACTCAACCAGAACACTAAAGATGGGTTGTGACAATAGCATGACAATGACCTCCACAAACATATCACCTGAGCAGCAAGTACGTGGCTAAAGAAAGAGCACAAAAAGGTCAAGGAGTGGATGCAGCAAACTCAAGATCTCAGTTCTGCAGAAGTCTGTTAAGGAAGCTAAAACTTTGAGCAGCCAAGAAACCTGGATCTGGTTTAGTTTCTAAAAAGCAGAGCAGGCCAAAGTCCCTCGGGAGCCATGTGCCTCAGGAAATCAAAACTAATATGAAGCCTAGAGTCTGTATTTAAACTAGAGCCAGTGGGTAAACGGAAGACATTTGTGTTTCAGATCTGCAGCAAATCATTTATATTGCGCAAGAGACATCATAAATCAAAAACATCTTCATGTTGAACATGTTATATTTTTATATGTTCTTTTGCTGTGGAGTTCAGATGTTAATGTTCACAGTAGAAGCAATCCTACTGCATCCGCTAAACCATAAAACCTTCACATGTCCAATAATGTCCTAAACGTCTTCAGATGAATCGTGTTTACAGTAACAGAATGTCCCCAAGCAGAGCAGCAAGGTGCTTAGTGAGTAAAATACAAAATAAGATAAAACAAATCACTCATGCAATCCCTTTGCTGAGTCTGATAATGGGATTCCTTTGCATTGCGTAAAATGTACTCTTAATAATCCAGGGGGTGTGTGTGCACACGCTGGTCATCTGTTGTGCCTCACTGGCCAGGTGATTATCCAGCAGAGTTTCATAGGAAAGAAAGGGAGATGAGTGGGTGGGGCAGAGAAGATGGATAACTAAACAGATTAAGTGATAGAGGAGTGACTGTTAGAACAAGGCGGAGAGAGGAGTGAGATTAAGACGGACCGAAGGACCTCAGACGCTGGAAATTGTACAAGTCGGCTTAAGGATGAGCAAACGGGACTCTTGTTTTTAAATTAAAAACCCTCATTTTTTGTTTGTTTTTTACATTTTTTTGCATTAAAAGCAATTTGTTTATCTGGTAGGGCTGGCACAGCTAAAGTGTTGCCCTGGACCTGTTGAGGAAAACACACGGCCGGCAGAGGAGCACCAGGAGGAGACGGGCCGCCGGCAGGTCGAGCAGGAAGCTTGAGCAAAGGCTCCGCTGCGTGATGAGGACGGCCAGGCGTGCCAGCAATGTGGAGGTGCCCTCCTTTCTCCGGCAGCTGGTTAAAGAGACGGAGAAAATGGTAACGTTCTTCTTCAAGGCCGGATCCAGGGAAAGAGGCTGTGAGGAGGAGGACAATTTAGAAGACGAAGACGCAATGCCAAGCCCCTATCTGGACCGCCCCAACTTGGAGAAACATGTTGCAGAAGGGGGTTCTAGTTTGGGGTTGAACTACGCTGTGGCCAGCATGCAGGGCTGGAGGGCTCAAATGGAAGATGCCCACACCTGTTTGCCCCAGCTGAAGGGAGACCTGGAGGACTGGGCGTACTTCGCTGTTTTTGATGGACATGCAGGCATCACAGTGGCCCAGTACTGCTCCAGAAACCTGCTGGATCACATCCTGACAACAGGTACACAACTAATGTTGATAATACCTTCAATACGGTTGAATATTGATGCAAAACTTACAGTTTACTGGGACTGGATGTTTTTATGGACTAGAAACAACAAAACAGGCATTTGCAAGGGTTTAAAACAGAGTTGAGACATCTTGGAAGAATTTGAAAACATGTTTTGGGGATTCCATGAATGAATAAATCTTAACCCAAAAGGCTTACAGAGGAGATCATCCACTATGCCAAACAGAGAGCCCAAGTGCTTTTCCATCAACTCTTTGTTTTATACCAAAACCCACCATAAGATTCACAGTACAATATTTTAAAACCTACAAGTGGGTCCCAAGCAACCAGTCGAAAAGTAGACTAATGGACATTATAAAGTCTTGTTGACCCCTAGACTTAATCATTACTCCCACATGCAGTGCATACATTTATCTTTATGCCCAAATATTGTTTTCAACAGGTGGGATCAAAGCAAACGAGGACCCTGACCAGGTGAAGGAGGGAATCCGTGAGGGATTCCTGGGCATCGATCGCCACATGCACAAAATGGCTCGCAAGGACAGCTGGGACAGAAGCGGCTCTACCGCAGCGGCTGTCATGATTTCTCCACGTTACATTTACTTCATCAACTGCGGGGACTCGCGCACCTTCCTCTGCCACAATGGCCAGGTGGTCTTCTACACAGAGGACCACAAGCCGTTTAATCCCAGGGAAAAGGAGAGGATCCAGAACGCCGGCGGCTCGGTTACCCTGCAGAGGATTAACGGCTCACTGGCCGTTTCCAGAGCACTGGGAGACTTTGACTTCAAGGAGGTGGACTGGAGACCACAAACGGAGCAACTGGTGTCACCGGAACCGGAAGTGTATGAACTGGAAAGGACACCCGAAGACGAGTTCCTCGTGCTGGCATGCGACGGCGTGTGGGACGCCATCGGTAACGAGGAACTGTGCGCATTCATACGCAACCGTCTCCAGGTGTGCGATGACCTGAGAGACATCTGTACCCAGGTCATTGACCTCTGCCTCTATAAGGTGAGACGTAAGACCAACGTAAATTACACAAGGACCAAGAGGTGTCAGTATTAATCTTTAATCTGTGATTAAGACGTAGATTTGAAATTTCAGTAGGAGCTTCTAAAGGAGTAGATAAAAGGAAGAAAAATCAACTAATTTAGGAACCACACATCTAGAAATAAATATGAATAATTTAGCAAATTATTTATTTCCTGTTGGCTTCTTGTATCAAATATCCTGTAGCACATTTATTTCTTTCATGTGTTATTATGAATTAACAGGACATATATGAAAGAAAAGCTGAAATCAGTATCAGAGAGAAACTCTAAATAAAATGCTTAGCAGTTTGATAAATGTAAACATTTATTTGCATCAGAGTGTGGTGATGACTTTTGGGTTTGGGCCAATTAGGCTCATTATTTGTGGATTATTTTACAAGGCCAATGATTTTGACATTTGTTTTTGTACGTTTTACATAAAAGGAAAGGAACATGGTTTACTTTTTCCCACCTAAAAACACACATCATTCTAGTTTTTTTTTCTGTGTCCTTATGCTAATCATAACAACAAAGCAATAAATGGCAAAATAATAAGTATTCAAGATCGCAACTCTAATATCCAATTTAACCACACGACAGCAGACTTGATTATTTCACTCATTTGTCCATTCATTCCCTTTTATTAGATTGTTGCAATCATTTAGCAACTACCAAAACTAATAAAAGTCTTTATTGTCCTATATTATTGTTGTTAGTCCAATACCATAATACATATAATTTCAACAGGCAAGTCTAGAATCAAGTGTGTGTTTTATTATTTTGCTCTGAAGTGAACTTACAGCCAAAACATCTCCAGACTCCACTAGATTCAACTCGGTTGTTTATAGTCTCACTAGACGCTACAGCAGGCAGATTTATGAATCAGTAGCCTCACACTGACAAAAAGGTGAGCTAAGCAGGCTCTCAGTGACGCACCTGATTGTTACGTAAGTGGATTCTACACCTGGCTGATCAAAAATACCGCTGAGCGCTTTACCTGACTTATATATAGACGCACTAAGAGATCCTTAAACATTAGGTTGGAGCAAGAAAAGCTGCACATGGTCGGGATTAACACTGAGTGTGAGCGCGTTGACGAGAGCTCAGCAGAACAGTGGAAGACACTCCCCCTCTGAATTTTAATCCTTCCCTCTGTGTGCTGCTATTTATTTCACCTGAAAAGGCTTCAGTGCATCTGCAACACTTCCTGTTCCAGCAGACTGACCTCACAGCTCTGCAGTTATAACACAGTCATGATGTAAGATGCATTTTACAAAAGCTACATGCCATACGTAGCCTATTAACATCACCAATTATAAAAAACACTGCAAATGCAACAAATGACTATAAATAGCCGAAATTACTGAGATCTGACCACCTGCTTATAAATAGTTATTGATCCATTCTTTTGCCACATTAGGTTGATTAATATTTGAGCTATCACACAGCCCTTAGTTAAAGTAACACATGATAAAATGAATGTAATTAAAATATAACACTGGATATATTTTATTAAATGAGTAGCAAAGCTAGAAGATTATTGACATATTTTATTTAATGTTTTTTTAGGTTTACCACTGTTAATAATAATAATAATAATAATTTATTATATTCTTCTTCTTATTATTATTATTGTTATTATTATTATTATAATTAAGGTGCCAACTAGTTTTTCACCCTTTTTAGTTACAATTTAAGTGCTATTTAATATAGCTATTAAGATCTTAATGTGAATAGAAAACCTAGAAATGACTTGTACAGTTATTTGAAACAACAAAAAACCCCACAGGAACGTAGTAAAGCAAGACCAAATATAGAAAAAGTTTGTCTTGTTTATGTGTTAAAATGCTTGTTCAATGACTAAAGCTATTATGATTATTTTTATTTTATGTTGTTTATTTAATTCTTCAAAATTTTAACTTTTCAAAACCGATGCCAACACCTTTTACCATCATTATCTCTTGTCTCATTTCCTCTCAGGGACAAGCGTTTTTGCTGAAAGGAAGCTAATTTAACTCTACATCCTCTTGTTGTATGAATAATTTTGGACTTGCCTGAATTAACAATCCTCTGCTTCCTTCTGCAGGGCAGCTTGGATAACATCAGCATCATCATCGTGTGCTTCCCCGGCGCCCCCCAGGTGTCGCAGGAGGCACTGCAGCGCGAGGCAAACCTGGAGCAGCACATTGACATGAAAGTGGAAGGTGATTGGATGGCTTTGCAGAAGTTCCCACTAAGTTCACACTAACTTTTATCAGGCTGCTTTCATCTTCTGTGCATTTTTCATCTCAAATTGTTGCCTCTGCAGAAATCATTCAGATGATGCGATCCAAAGATGAAGATCCCGACCTTCTGTATGTGATCAAGTTCCTGGCTGCAGAGGAAATACCGGGGCTCCCACCGGGGGGAGGCATCACCAGCAAGTGAGTTAAATAACTTATGATTAGTAATTGTAACACTCGCTATGTGTTTACAGTTAATAAATTTGTAATAAG